TTTCATTTTTCGGTAGTGTTTTGCGCCACCATTTAAAAAAAAAAAAAAAAACTTATACAAATCATAAATCTTAAAATAAACCATATATGGACAATAAAATAAATAAAATACAAGAAGATAATGATAGCAATAATAAAAACAATAATAATATGATTGTCATTACCCCTATCATTCTTAAAAAAACTAAATTAAAAAATGTAGGACCATGGCAATTTCTGAACATTCCATCACAAACATACAGACAGGACACCCCCAGCGCGATGTCACTAATACATAACCCTCCTGTGGCCTTGTTTTCGTTAGACTAAAGCTCTGTGTATGACTTACATGATTTCCGATAACTTGTGAACACATAATGAGCTGTAAGAAGCGGCCACATATCACCCATCTGTCAAACGCTCACTACTGAAACACAACCTATTTACGACCATCTGTCCGCTCATTATTTATGGATAGGCCCTGATGCGAGCCGCTGTGTAATCAATTATTATCCGATGCGTGTAACATTGCTGCCAGTAAGTTACCGCCGGTGTAAGGAGTGAGAGTTATTTTGGATTTAACAAAGCCGGCACAGAGAACCATCTGCGCTAATGGGGATTTGTCAAAACGGTGTAATCGGTAGGGTTTGGGAAAATATGGAAAGTCAGATATTTTACTAATACTAAAACTGGTATCGAAACTAGATTTGAGCAGGTTTCGATATTGAAAAAGCTGCATCAATTGGACAGAAATTTACCTTTAAAATCCTGAAACTTTACAATAATCTTGAGCTTTAACAGAACAAGTAAAAGACCATAGACTGAAGGATTACGCAGAAGTAAGTTTTCATCATCATTGTGGCCTAGGAATCGGTATTAAGTATTGAATCTATTCCTTGTATCAAAATTGAGTTTGAAATTTTAGTATCGTGACAACACTAATTCACTGTAAAAGTAATTAGGATTATAAACTGCTGTTAATATTTTGTGTAATCACTTGTAATCCCTTGCTAAATAATGTTTTAGTTTCACCATAATTCAACTCAGTGCTCAGTAGAGATGTCCAAAAATATCAAAATATCGATATATCGTAATGTTTAATGTGATGTTACAGTATCGATGTCGTGGGCTGCTGTATCAATATATCACCAAAAGTATTTTTTGGTATATTTTACTAAATTATTTTGTTACAGCTAGAGTTTTGTTGCTTGTTTAGAGGAAGGAAACTCATTTATGTGACACATTTGACATTTTCACAGTTTTGAGGATTAAAATAGACTTTTTTTCATATTAACTTTGCAGAAGAAGTGGTTTAACAAGACTTTTAGTATCACAGACATTATTTAGCAATAATTTTTTATTGAACTGTATCGAATCGTTTTTATATATATCGTATCGAATCGAAAGTGCACTGTATCGAGATCTGTATCATATCGTGGCCTATATCGAGATATGTATCGTATCGGCAACTGCTTAATGATACCCAGCCCTGGTATCGAAAGTGAGATACTTTACTAATACTAAAACTGGTATCAAAACTACATTTGAGCAGGTATCAATAGTGAAAAAGCCGCATCAACTGGACAGAAATTAACCTTTAAAATCCTGAAACTTTAGAATAACGTTGAGCGGTAACAGAACAAGTACAGATCCACATATACCTGGATGACTACAGAATTACACAGAAGTAAGACCACACAGTAATATAAAAGAAAGTACTAAGAGCATTTGACTTTTTCATCATAATTATGGCCTATTGAGTCTATTCCTTGTACCAAAATTGAGTTTGAAATTTTAGTATCATGACAACACTAAAAGCTTAGGTGGTTTTATAGGATAGGGACTAATTCATTGTATAAGTAATTACGATTATAAACTGTTGTTAATATTTTGTGTAATCAGTTGCTATATAAGGTTTTACTTTTGTCATAATTAGGGTTAGGTATCATTAAGAAGTTGCGGATACATATGTCGATACATAGGCCACGATACAGTACATATCTCGATACAGTGCATTTTCAATTCAATATGATTCAATAAAAAATAAAGGCTAAATCATGGCTGTGACTCTAAAAGTCTTTGTTAAACCACTTCTTGTGCAAAGTTCACATGAAAAACTCAATTTTTAATCATTAAAACAAATGTTAAATGTGTCGCATAAACATTCCTTTAAACAAGCAACAAAACTGTAGCACTGTAACAAAAAAATTTAGTAAAATAAACCAAAAAATACTCTTGGTGATATATCAATACAGCAGCCCACGATATCAATATTGTATCATTACATTAAATGACACGATATATTGAAATTGCGATATTTTTGCACACCCCTAGTCATAATTCAACTCAGTGCTCAGTGAGGGTGTCCAAAAATACAGAAATATCAATGTATCGTAACATTTAATGTGATGATACAGTATTGATACCGTGGGCTGCTGTATCGATATATCACCAAGAGTATTTTTTGGTATATTTTACTCAATTATTTAATGAAATAGCTACAGTTTTGTTGTTTGTTTAGAGGGAGGAAACTTGTTTATGCTATACATTTCACATTTTCATTGTTTTCATGAATGAATGGGCGTGTTTCACATGAACAGTGCATAAGGTGTGGCATAACAAAAGACTTTTAGCATCACAGCCATGACTTGGCATTTATTTTTTACTGAACATTATCGAATCGACTTGAAATATATCGTATCAAATTAAAAGTACACTGTATCAAGACATCTGTCGTATTGTGATCTATGTATCGAGGTATTGTTTCAGCAACTTCTTAATGATACTCAGCGCTGGTGCTCAGTGTCTTATAAATCACACAGTTGTAGAATGGAGTTGTGGGAGTTTTTGGTATTTCTAGCAAATTACAGAAGTTTTGTAATCAGAAAGGCATCATGCGGTGTGAAATCGAATAAAACTGAAGTAGCGTGTCTGACATTTAAGCATGAGGATGAGCTTTGCAATTAAGAGTTTAAGATAAGAAAAAAACCTAAAATGAAAATATAAAAATGTCCAAACTAAACTTAAAATCTAAGGTGGTATAGTCCTGCAGTGTGACAGCTGAATTGTTAACAAATATTCTAATATAATAATCATTAAATCAGTACTATATAAACTTGTATATGGACACATTTTGTGGTAGATGCTCTGTGGTGAGACCGGACTCAGGAGATATCGAAATATCCCAAAATCACGGAGTTACCACAAAAATGACATAATGTTTGAGCAAAAAACTTTCATAATAGTTACAGAACTGCTTTGCTTTTCACAACAAACTGCACATTCACTTTTAGAGGAACTATCGGACTTGGAAAAGATTTGCATTTCAATGTTAATATGTAAAAAAGCTTGAAAAGTTTTCCATTTAAAGTCACACTTCATAACATTAACATAAAACATACCAAAATGTTATCTCAAGAATCTATTTTGGACACTGGACTGTATAATTATTCATGGAGATGGAAAGATGAAGTTTTAGTTCTCAATATTATAATTTTCACAGGATTTCAAGTAAGATAATATTAGTCCTGTTATAGTAAACACTGTATTGACTTATTGTTCAGTCATGGGGATTTTTAAGTGGAAAATTTATTGGAGATTTAAGATGTAGAAGGCTGAATGATTAATATCTGTGACTCATATAGATACAAACTAACTACAAAAGTGTTGCATTGTCTTATTAATTATAGATCATATTTTTAAACAATACTGTGCATTTAGAACAGTTTTTTGGGGGATATTTTTGCTTTATGGTTTGGTTTCAATATATTGTTTATCATCTACTAATTTGTTATTGTGCTTACAAACTACGCAAACAAATTGAAACAGAACAAAAACAAGACTAAACGACAAAGGGCAAAAAAAAAAAAAAAGCTTAGATCAACGAGACATAGACCAAGTACAGAGTCTGAGAGCAAAGATGGCTTCACCTCTTTCAGCTTAAACTGGTGAGTGCTCATTTATTCTTTGCCCTTTTATCTCCACCATGGATTGACAATCAAGCTGCAAGCACAAGAGAATCTCCTCCAATGGCCGCTCCAGCCGAGCATAAACCCAGTGATTGCCAGTAAAAGCCCTCACTATCAGCATAAAAATCTGCTCTGCACACACATGCATCTCACCAGGCATGTGACCACTGCAAGTTACTCACCAGACACATCATATAGAGGCCTGGAGCACATAATTGTAGAGCCACAGCCCCTTGGTTTATGGCTTTAAACAGCTCTGGACACAAAACAAGGGCAGCTTTTTCCTTTTTTGTACTTATGCGGGTGTTAAAATAAAACGCATATTTTGATTTTTGCAGTTCTAATAAACATGTATAAATAAAAGCATATAGTAACGAGGTAACACTTTGCACTGTCCAACTATTACTCTGAGATGTGATGCTTGAAACTTGAAGATTAAGATGATGTCTACTTCATATAGAAGACAAACAGCTAAGTAGTGAAATGGAATGAGATATTAATAATGCATGATCAGAAACTCCAAATAACCTTATGGCTTTGATTGTCAGTAGGAACTCCTTTTACAGCACAGACTATGAGTAACAGAAAGGAAGGGGAAGCTGGATCAGAAATAACTTAAATAAAGATTATAACCAGATAACCATTTTTAGATGACATTTTCTTCCTGTTTTCATGTTGAGCAGAGCATCTCTCAGAGGTCGTAACTGGATCCAGCTCATTCATTCATTCATTCTGTGGTTTAGTTTGTCATTTTGAGGTTCGTACTAACTAGATAATCACGGAGAACACATCCAGAAGCAGAACTGGGCCACAGTAAACAGAAAGTGAAAGTAGCAGATATCACTTTACTTTCTCCCAGTGTATTTGCATGGGGTAAGGTGTATATTTAGCTAGCTGAGAGTTGAGAGCTAATTAGCCCAGTAGCGGGCACGGCGCTAGCTCGGAGCATGACAGGATCTGAGCAGAGCTGCATCATAATCCTCATATAATCACATTAAGTGCAGCCCATAAAGCTGTTAGTGCAAAGTGGATAGTGTTACCAGTGAGGACTGACCTATTCCCGGAGCCACATAGATGAAGTAGAGACAGGTGGTGGACATGGAAAAGAAGAATATGAAGGCCAAAAACGAGCGGTTGGACATTCGCAGCAGCCGCCTCCAGTTCACCATTTTGGCTTAGGGCCGCTCCTTCTCTGCCGATATGAATCCCATAAAATACCGTGTGGTTTTAGAAAGTCCTCAAATACATAGACGATGGCGTCAAGTGTGTAGTCATTGAAAAACGTGCACGGCAGACGCCAAAAGTGCGGTGCAGAAAGGGCTAAAGCTAGCGGTGCTAGCTGGCCTGCTTTCCCCGATGAGAAATTTCCAGATGGAAAAAGCAGGCCTGAAACGGTAATATCAGGCAACTGCACGCCTCACAGAACACCGCCGTTTAGCCATAACGATCCAGACCCACGGGCGCACGGCTCGGCACGGAACACTTTAAGAAATCCCGTAATAACGTGCCATTGTTGCGGTGGCGCCAGCGAGTGTTTTTGTCGCTAGCATTGACGGGCGGTATCCCTCTCCAGTGCGCTCTCAGCCGGTGCGATGCTCCACACACTCTCGCTCTAATACTGGAAGAGAAAGCGCACGCACGGCTCCAGTCATGCCAGCGCCGGGCTCCACACGGACTTGATGCGGCCCCTCAGACTCATATGTGCAAGATGTTATCCACCAGCGCTGATAAAAGATGGGTTTAATCAGCCCGGAGTCCTTTCATTTTCTGCTGGCACTGCAGACAGAGTTTCCGGCGGGTCCACCCCTCCCTCCGGTCACCATGGAGACGGAGAGGCAGGCGCGGCGCAGCGGCGCAGCGGCCCTCTCCCCCGGACGCTCCCATCATATCACATTTTTACATCGTGTTTGTGATTTACTACGCTTTCTCCTTTATCACCACGACAAATAAACGCCTGGAACACAAATAGATTTCTTCAGACCTCAGACTGCCCATTTAACTGCCTCTGTTTATTTATAGGCTATTGGCTTTTAGGCGTATTAGGCTAATTAAAGGTCTTTTATTTATTTATTTTTTACTTTTAACTATACACATATTATGAGTCACTTGGCATATGTGCAAAAAACACAATGCAGTCACGTAACTCATGTACCAGCCCTTTCCTGTTACTGTATTTTACACTGGCTGCCTATTCCTACAGATGTACTGTCTTGTAACTTATTAAGTACACTCCTACCTGCTTGTTTCCATGGAAATGTTATTGCTTTGCTTGGAAAATTCCACAGTATGGCATTAAACTTTCCTATCTGCATGGAGACAAGCAACCACAAGGCTGCATAACAGGGCAGAGCAATGGAGAGGTGTCCCAGTCACAATAAGAACATGTTTTTCAAGGTAATTTTGTGCAGTAAAAACATCTGTGATTGAATAAATGCAAGTTATATCATACTGTATCATGGCACCCATACATAATAAAGTAATAACATGTCTACAGAAACAAGTAGGTAGAGGACCCCCCCCATCAGAAATGTTTTTTAGTGCTAAACTCACACTCTGATATCATTTAAGGAGAGCCATATCACCAATGCAATAAATACAGCATGCAGTCTGCTATAAGTCAGTAGGCCTATTCTTTGCATAGAAATGAGCAATTTGTCTCGCTGAATTCAAATTAGTTTCTGCTTCCAAGTCCAGTATAATTCATACACTGAAAAAGCTGTGTTTGCCCTAATATGTGGAAAATCATCAGCTTAACTTAATACAAAATGTAAATTTTCTTTTATAATTGTGAAATGAGTTGTGCTTTGTTTTATTCACATGTTTAACACACAAACCCTGTCATATGGTAATACAGGAAGTGCTCCATTGTGTTTTTAAACTCCATACACCTTCAGTAGAATCATTTGGCTCAATTGAAAATCTACTGAACTTAAGGTAAAAGGTAACTTAAAGTAAAAACTACAGCTTCATGACATCACAAAGTGGAACAGAGTGTACTGAGCTTTGGAGATGTAGACAGATTATTAATAAAGGATTCCTCAAACAACTCCAAGTATATTTTTTGAGGAGGTAACATGGCTTAAAGCTCATAAGAGTCAGTTTTGGTTAATATCTGCTATAAAATAGTTTCACGTTGTGGGTCCAGGAAGGCAGGAAAGGCCAAAGAGCTCCAATTTATGCATCCTTAACTCTGTCCATTTAAGCTGGAAATGGTTTTTACCTTGAATTATGCATGATGAAAACACAGACTTAACAATACATTATTTATTGCCTACAAAAGGTGAGGAACTGTACAAAAACATGTTACCAAGTAGCACATCTGAACGTGTAACATTAATCAAGACTCATTTTCTTTCTTACATTACAAAATATCAGAACATTCTATTCAGCTATAGTACTTTGGTAATACCAGTAGATCTGTATATTGTTATTGTGGTTGTTGGGGTAGGTATAACTGTATTACTTTAGTTATTCTCTGCGGCTTGTTGCATGATGACAGAACACAGGCTTAACATCTGCAGGTACTCGTCTGCTCCGTCGACCAAGCACTTATCCACCACCTGAGTGAGAAATCAAAGAGACATTTAATAGCCAAGCCTTTCATGTCACATCAAGTCACAGCACTGCTATTCTCTTTCGAGCTACTAGAGGGCGATGATGTTCACAAAAATGGGTGAAGACTATAGGAAAAGATTTTAGATGATTAAGACACACTTGAAAGTTTTATTAATTATTTTTGATTATTAAATAGATAGTAAATATGTTTAAAAACACATTTGACACTCCCATTTTGACGACAGATGCCTATTCAAAATATATATTTTTTTAAATTGCGAATTGCTATAGAAATGGCCATAACTTTTAATCATTCTACATCCATGAAGACTACAGTGGACAAGGTTTAAATGCCAGCAAAATATGATATGGTAAAAATCTGATTCCTTCAGACTGAAATTCTTTCGTTGTGCTTCAATCACATGGCACTAGTGTAATACAAAAATTTCAACCCTGCTTTTGATACGAAGGCATAGACTTGTTACTTGACTCAGTACAGTTTTGACACCACAGTGATAATAAACAATTTAATTAGAATGTAGATTTTAAATTTTCAATCATAGTACTTTCTTTTATATTACCTGTGTAATTTCAGCCAGGTTGCATACTGGTCCATGGGCAAATACTACGGTAGTCTATGTGGTCTTATACTCAAGATCATGTTAAAACTATTCAGAAAAGATTCATTTCTCTTCTGTGAATGACTTGTTTGATACCTGCTCAAATGAGTATATAGTTTTTCTGCTAGTTTTAGTATTCATTAGAATCAGATTAGCTAAACTTTTAACCGTATATGATACAACGACAAAATAGAAACAGACTTTATGCTCCTATACATCACATCATTATATTAAGTTATTATGTAAATGTAGAAGTATAAAATGATTAGTAGAAGAGCTGTGGAAAAAAAATATGATAATTTTTGTAATAAACTTACAGCCATCTTCTCAGTGATGGCCGACTTCTGCTTGTCACTGATGTCTCGTTCTATAATGGCTTCATGCAGCTGCCCCAGGATCTGTGTAGCGGCGTAACCCTCATCCACAATGTTCTGGAAAGTACAAAAATGCCTTTATTTTGTTTTTTTTTGGAGTTTCAATAATTTCCCACAGATTAGTTTTATTTTCACTGATAATAGTGAATAGAAATAAAGACTAAGGGATGCACCGATCCAGCTTTTTTCGATTCCGGTAAGATATCGATACTTTGACTTTAAGCATCTATCGAAACCCAATAATATTCAGGAGCAGTGTGGGGATGGACAATGGCACTTATCACCCTAAAATGCAGTTAACTTATTCCACAAGTGATCCAAATGTGTTATGTAACTGTTGTTTATCATTCAAATCACTACCGAACAGATTCGTGAGGGAATTTAGGCCAAAATCAGCGTGTAAATAGTCCAGTGTATAAATAGTTAAATCCAATTAAAGGCCGATTCACAATATCGGATTAAACGATATTATAGAACTGATAACTATCCAACAAAATTGTCATTATTAATATATTGAGATACTCTACACCAGTATCAGTATTGGTGCATCCCTAATAAAAGACATGACAAGAGAAAAGTACAAAAAAGACAAATTGGTTGTACATACTTTGACAGCAACCTCTAGTTTCTCAAATGTTCCTTTGAAGCAGATCTCAAGCAAGTTGTCAATTGTTTTTGTTGGAATCACCTATAAAGAAATTTCAAAATCAGAATCGTGATCACCAAAATGTCATATATGTAGCAATTTATTTTTCTAAATCCTCACCCCTGCTATTTCAATCACAGCCTTCTCTGTGATCTCTTTGTCGGTGTTGAGGCGTGCAGCGCTCTGGAGGTACGTGATGGCTTTTCTCAAGTCTCCTTCTGATACTCTCACCAGGGCTTCAATGCTCTGTTCGTATTAGCAACAAAAAGTATTAACCGTAGACCAAACACAAGTGATTATTGTAACTTCTAAACATCTTTTCTGTTGATATATCAATGTATAAATAAAGGGCTGCTGAAGCCAAAGTTCAATCTGTATTCTGAAACAAATGTAAAACCAAAAAAATGCATGTTCAAAAAAGTCTAAGGAATTGGTTCAATAGATTAGATACTGAGCAGTCACTAACATAGAATAGTGACTTGTAACTGTCACTAGAGGGCAGTGTTTGGCAAATTTTCTCAGCTAAAACGACACTTGAAAATATAGGAAATGTTGGCTACTTTCAACAAATCCTTTCAAATAAATTAAGCCTTACCTCATTGGTGTACTTCAGGTTTTCTTTCTCACAAATGTCCAGCAGTCTCTGATGTTGGATTTGATTGGCCAAAGGTTTGAATCGAAATTTGGAACATCTGGAGGTCAGAGGCTCAATAATCCTGTAGAAAACAATACAGAAAGAGACAAAATGAGATTTAGACATAATATAAAACATAAATTGTGGGGCTCAAGTTCCAACTTTGGCCCCAAATGTTTTATGCATTTCATTAAATATTTTTGCTATTATTGTAACACTACTTTTTAACTACAGGTTCTAAAAATAAAATTAACAAGCACTTAACCCTTATGATCTGAGCCGAATGCACCACAGATGAAAAAATTTACACATGTGCAAAGTATATTTTAAAAGTTAATTATATTTATTCTGTATTGAATATTGTTTATTCTCCTGCTTGTACCGTAACCTGCGTTTTCCCCATTTATCTGTCTTCAGTAAACAACACGTATTGGTAACTGAGGTATGGTTTGATAATATTTTCCAGTGTGAGTGCATTTTATACTTATTATCAGTAACTATGAATGTCCCCCAGTACATTTAAACTATCCCTGTGACCCACCGGCTGATGTAGTTACAGATGAGGCAGAAGCGTGTGGTGCGACTCTCCTTTTCCATGGTTCTTCTGAGCGCCGCCTGAGCTGGAGCGGTCATGGAGTCCGCCTCGTCCAGAATGATGATCTTAAAGGGAGGACAAGGCTTCCCGCTGAAACATCAATCAATCAACAGTTAAATAAATGCATTAAATAGATAGTCACTAAAGAAATGTACTCAGTTTACCAGTTTGTAAAAAAAAAAAAAAATCTGTAATCTGTCCACTGTAAACTATGTACACTGGCCAGATGCTATTTATGATATTTAAATGTCTACTTCAGGTCACTGATTTTTCCTGCTCTTGTCACTGCTGAGCCTTCCGTCAATATAGGCTCGGGTTGTAAACATGCCTTGATTACTAATGGCTAATGATTTTTTTCTCATCTTTTCTAATGCATGTTTACTTACACTTGGCTACATGACAAGTAATAGTAATGTCGATGTTGCAAAGCAATTTTTATACATATTTTTTGTATTTTGACATTTTGATTAAAAAAAGAGAAATACAAACAAACTGTATTTCAAGCAAATACAGTTTAATAGATTACTTATATATCAAAGTATACTAGAAATTTTAATATTATGGTAAAATGTACAGCTCTCACAATTGATTCTATTGTAATCTAAGTGCAACATCTACATTAACAATGGTATAAATTGGCAACCTTAGTGATTTTTTTTTTAATGGAAAATAATTCTTTAAACAATTAGCCGGTGTAAACAATCACTCAAAACATTTGGTACTTACTCTGTTCGAGACCCAGCCACAGTGAGCTGAGCAAAGTTCTTCACCTTCTGCCTGACCACCTGAATCCCTCTCTCGTCTGAGGCATTCAGCTCCAGCACCCTCTGTCTGTACAGCTCCGGACTGAACACAAACAATACAGATCATGACGATGACGAGAAGTGGAAACAAGAGTGACAGAGTATCCCAAATAAGTATGTTTGCCTACCCGAACAGTTCTCTTGCAGCTGCCAGGATGGTGGAGGTCTTTCCTGTTCCTGGTGGGCCGTAGAAGAGCAGGTTGGGAAGCTACACAAGAAAACATATATGATTTTCAGGTCTTGTTTTACATTAGAAACAACAATCTTCACCAGAGTTTACATAGTGTTTACAACGCAATAATTTGACAGCTGTGTTAATTTTTAACATGGATTTAGGTTAACATCTAATCTTGGCGAATACAACAGAAAAACAAATGCATTTTGTGACACTTTAATTTGTAATGCCTGTACTCACATCTGCTCCTTCTAGAGACTTCTTGAGCACTGCAACCACCTCCTCCTGAAAGGCCACCTCGTCCACACATTTTGGTCTACTGGATTACACAAAACAAAGCTATTTTATAACAATTACCAGGACTGCACGATTCTGACAAAGCCAATATAATAGCAATTTTCCTTACAAGTATTGTAAGTTTGATGACATTTGTGATTTGTGTTTAATATTATGAAAATAGGATATATTGTGCAGCTCCAATAATTACAAAAAATAAGCAACTTTGATGAGGATTACACAGAAGCTGATGCACTTGACCACAAAAAGCACTGACCACTGACGACTTACTATTTCTCCACCCAGGGCACAGCCTTTTGCTTCTTCTCTCCGCTGGGTCCGGCTGCTGCCTTCTCCTTCTGTGATTTAGTGCTCTGAACAGAGGCTCCTTTTAAAAACGCGTGCATGGTTCTTTCTGGTCACACTTACGATAACTAACAAACAGAGACAAGACACAAAATTAGTATTGTTGAACATAATAAAACATGGCTATTGTAAGCAGTTGGTGTTTTGATAGTTTCTATTCTCTACATTTCACTAAAGAATAATTTTTAGTAGTAAATCATTCAAGTTCATCAAAATATATGGCTGACTTAAATGTACACGTGACTCTGTAAGTAAAATAGAAGTAAACATATTTCAATTATTCTGCAAGATTAGGGTGACCAGATTTTCAAAATAAAAAACTGGGACATCTGAGTGAAACAAGTGCGTAATTAAGAAAAATTGTTGTGCACTAGGCCCATTCATGACTAACATGTGAGGCAGTAGTGACATTTTCTTTGTTTTTGGTAATTTTTAAACAACTTTTCTGTATTTTACCTAAACAAATCACAATTTATGCCTCTCTTTACTGTTGGCAGGGATCAGACTGGTCAAAAATAGGGACGCCCGAGACAATTCTTGTGCAAAATTGGGACAAATCACTGGTTTGGGATAAATCTGCCGGGACCACGGATGGAAATAAGCCTTAGACAATCCAGTGTGTTTACATTCATGTTGTGTCATGTTGTCCATTAACATGCTCTGTCCCAATTAAATAAATAAATAAAATTAAATTAAAAAAACAGGGGACACAGGGCTCAAAACTGTTCCAGGTAAATAGGGACATCTCCTAACCCTATACAAGATATCAAATGTGATCACTATAATATCCAACCAATACATATCTGAAAACCCATTTAAAATAAGAGTTTTATTTCAGTGTCGTACGCTTTATGGAACCACATTTCTAACAGGTACGTTATTGTACAAAGAAAACCCTCAAAGCATTCGTAAAAACATTGTATAGAAACTTGCATATTGGATACAACTTAATATAACTAGCTACGACATGCAGGATATGCAGGGGCTGATAGTTCGGATAACTTCACAGATTAAAAAGGTTAATATTTGCTCAATTACATCTCACAGTCTAATCAGAGAAAAACACTGGACTCTACAAAGTTGGTAATCCTTTTGCTAATCAGCTACTCTTACCTTAGCTTAAAACACTTTTCCTTGTTTTTTGCGTGGCGTGCATTAAGTAAATAATCCAGGCAGTCCTTTTCTATATGTAGCACAAGCCACGGGTGTTGTTTTACAGGACCGTAGTTAATAATACGACTTTGATTTGTTGGTGAGGAGAGAAAAAGCGCACACGATTCTCTCCTTTCCCGCTCTGCCTGCGCACACTTCCGTAAACGACAGTGAGGAGCAGCCAATCGGAGCAGAGAGATCAAACACGTGACCAGACGCGTCTTCTTCGGGGGTGTATTTACCTGTCACTCAACCTACTCTGTTTTCCTCCAGACGACCACGTTTTTTAAAAGATATTTCACAAGTGGTACCTTAAGTTGATAAATACATTCTTTGGCATTTATACTACAAAAAACTCACTGATAAATGTGTCAATTGTGAGGAGAGTTGAAAAAGTTAATCACGTCAGTGGATGTACGAAATGTCTAAACAACACAGCACGTGCAAACATTGATTGAAATGAAAGAAGATATAGAACTTTAAAATACTTTATAATTTTGTGTTAAAATCGAAATATAATATATCTACACAGTACTACAGTCCAGCACACAAAGGTGAGTATTCATACCTATAGGCCCTTTCTGCAATGGAGGCAAGTTGAGGCAAAATTAAGCTAACATAATGTATTTACAATGATGAACAGAAGAGCAGTCGTAAATGATAATGGTTTTATGACATTTAAACTAAAAATAATTAACAATTTTTAATTTTAAAGTTACAAATCTTATTTACTTTGCTTCTGTGTTAAGAAGGATGGAGAAATGCAGTTTTCAAACCCTAAAATAGTATTTGAGCTTAACAAAAGTATAATTTATGATGAAACGTGTAATATATCTGTAGATGAAGTGAAAAACTATTGTGGGCTCAACATTTCTGTAAGGATTTGTCCGGTAAAACCTCAAAATGTGGAGTTTGTGTCTATGATAATCTTTTGTCAAATACACAAATAATGTAAAACACAATTGTAAGTGTTTTTTAACTGGGCTTTGATATCATTCACATGTATCTGAGTGGTTTTCATTTTCCAAATTGTCCTTGATTTTTCATAATTTGTCATATCCTGAAATGAATCCTAGTTATCCCATGAAAGTCACATTGTATTCGACTTCACTTTTGCTGCCTCCATTTCAGAATTTAAAATGTTTTTGTTTACAATTTTTCAAAGGGTACAGTACAGTAAATGCATACCTAAACTACTGAAGCCCTAGCCTACTGATGGGCGTGTTTATAATAAAATACTAAAATCTTCAACTTATTTTTTAGATTTAAGAATAGACATAATACCTGATATGGATTTTTTCATACAGTTGTTTTCATTCCGTATTACCATGCAAATATAGATCAAAGACCATTCTAAAATTATTCAGGAAAGGTCTGTCTTTATCCTATAGTCTGTGAATTTGTGACTCAAATTAGTCTCAATTTAATGCTAGTTTTACAGTTTTTGCACATATTTTGTCTAGTTTTTTAGATTATACTGGGATATTGCCTTATAGAAAAGACTTCTCATCTTTTTCCACAATAGAAATGCATAGTTTTGTATTTTTTTCTTGTTAACAACACAGTCATATTTTTAGAAGAGAAATGGCCTATATTCACAGTACACTGACATCTCCAGCTGCTCCTATCCTGCGCCTGTGTTTTCATGTGACGGTAATTGGCTGCAAACTGGAGATCAAATGAGCCTGAGCACAGATGTCTAATATGTGTATCTCCCTGACAGTGTCCCAGGCCGACTCCCAGGGGCCACAACACTCATGGGACAGAAATGAGAGGAGGAGAGGAGGAGAGAGGGGAGGGGTGACCACGTTCTGTCTGGACTTCGAACGCATCAAAACACGGAGCTGGATCGGACTTGGAGGATCAGGGAAGAAGATGGAGGCATGACAAATGAGGTGTGGAAGAATTGATTTGCTTTGTGTGGGGATAATGAAGACAGTGGAAACAAAGGCTATTCCTTTCTTTGGCTAGGCGTGTTTAATGTAGATAAAATAGTGCGCTAATTTTACTGCAATGTGTAACAGTAAATTACTAGTTTTCCTAATCTGTGTAACTATTAATGGGCCCATAGTAAACCATTTTTACAATGTTGTTTCCTCATCAAAAACATACCAGGAGACAGCTTTATGCCCTTTCGAAGACTATCTTGCTGGTCGTCCCTCCATCTAATAAACTACATTTAGTATATTCACAGGGTAGCCGCAAGGTTTTAAATTTCATCTTTCTAAATTAAGGCCTTAAAAAGTCTTAAATTATGTTGTCCTAATTTTTTTCACAAAGGTCTTAAATTTCATTAGCCTATTTTTTTATTTACTCAACCGGGCTGCAGTGCAATGTTAAATGGAGGGAGGGAAAAAAAACAACAATGTGAAATAACGTAATGTGAATGAACGTCTAATTTGGAGTATGCTCAAACAATACTTTGGCTTTTGGCACTGGCGGCAATGAGTAAATAATCAGTTTCATCTACACTGCCCAGGACGCAAAACTCTGGTCAGGTCTGCTCACATCACGTACACGTTTATGTCACATACATCACCACCTAAAGTCACTTCCGAGCCACCTGGCATGCATACCCAATCCAATTTCACACACCTTTGCATCACTGTATGCACACAGATTTCCTCCTGAAAACACTTGTCTAAACGCGGAATAAAAAGTGAAGACGTCGTGCCACTTTTGTGTCTTCTGTTAGGACCATCATCATATAAGCGTAGCCTTAGATTCTGGATATAGTACCGGTAGTTGGTTGGTCATTATTAGAATTAGACCTGGTGTTTTTTGCCCACATAATGGGTGTGAAGTTGGTCTGAAATTTTCATTTAAGTGGTCTTTAAAAGGTCTTAACAAAGTCTTAAATTTGGGGTAGTCAAACCTGGGGATACCCTGATTCAGCTGGAGTGCCTCGTTTGTACCTTGCCGACTTTTACATGTTTAAATAAGGGCTACATTTTGTTAAGATTCCAAGTTAACCTTTGTAGAGCACATGCACTGCTACTTTTGATTTTTTTATGATCTAGTGAAGCGCTTTACCTCTTTTCTTCATTTGACGGTACCAGGAGTTGTGTTTTGTTTCATTCACACATGTTTAACACACAAACCCTGCATATTTAGGCTGAGTTCTTCTCTGAAAACACTCCATCCACCTTGTGAGATAATTACAGCCCTGAAATTGCCAATCTTTGCTAAACTAAAAGGAAAAGGCAGTGGATTCCAGGACAGAAATCATCCCAATTCCAGTCAATTCCAGTGAATGGCTGCAGGATCTAGAGGCTGCCTTGTCTATATTTTGGGGTTGAGTCCATTTCCCTCTCCTCCCCAGTTACTAGTCTTGTCGTTATTGTCTGTACTGTGTTTTTGTTGTATGTGCTGATGTTGCAGAGGGGTTTATTCCTTTTTTTCCCAGACAGTTAGTATAAATTTCCAGATTTCAGATAGTTAGTTGTGAAGAAGATAGCTATGTCAGATTCCAGATAGTTTGTAGAAGGAGTAGAATTAAAAGATAATTATGTCACAAATCTCAAGACCAAAGTGTTCAGCTTAGCTTTGTGTGTCTGTATGGGGGTTTTGGAAGGAAATGTGTAATAGTTTTTAATCACTGTAAAGCGCTTTGTGTGGCATTTTTGTATGAAAAGTGCTCTATAAATAAAGTTTGTTGTTGTTATTGTTGTTGTATGGAGTTTAAAAACACAGTGGTAATACTTTACTGTATTATCGAATGACATCACAAGCTGGAGTTTTTTCAGTTTGAGAGAGAAGAACTTTGCCAAAATATGCAGGATTTGTGAATAAAACAAAACCCAACTCCAGGTATGTTTTTGATGAGGAAACATTATTACAACAGAAATATATGGGTCCCTTTAACATTCATTCACAATTGTGCAATAACTGAACCGCTTAAAGACATTTGCATGCATATTTAAGCTTATTTCTTGTTGCTATAGAAAGAATCCACCAAAACATCGTAATTTTCCAAGATATTTTGCGTGTATTTTACAAACTATAGAATGCTTTTTCATCTTGTCATTCCTGTGAGTCCATTCCAGAATAATCCAGTCTCCTTTTTTTCCTCCACAAACCTCTTCCCCCCTCCCTCTGTCTCTCTCCCCTCGTGTCCCCCAGGCAGGTACAGGGCTGCTCTCTGATTGGCCGGCTCCATCTGTGACTCAGCTCCTTCATCACAGTCTTCATCACACGACGCGCCTCTGTGGAACGGACAACCCCATACTGGAACTGCTCTTTTTGATGCTTGTGGAATATATATTTTTATTTTTATATTTATTTATTATAGGAAGAAGTGCAATGGATGAAGAAGACACAGGCAAAAATTGTGTTTAATTTTGATGATTTAGCAACAATGTAAGTAGCTATTGTGTCTGTGTTGACGTATGGCTCCATATGACATAGCAAATTGTCTTTGTTTAAATATGTTTTATTTCAGTAATGTTTTCTTTTAGGCTGATTCATTATGGATGTGGCAGTAGTGAAATTAATACTGCCACAGCATTTTTGAAGTGATATTTTTAGTAAATTACAAAACAAAACAAAATTAGGCTAAATTTAAATAATAAATCACAAAAAATTTTGGTTAGTGTATTGGCAAGATTTTTCCTTGGTATTCACCTTCAATTGTTTGAAAAAAAAAAGGTTAGATATTAAAATGTATCGTGAAAATGCATTCAATTCTTAACGTCTACTTATTTGCACCAGCTAGACTAACTTAAGTATCCATGAGAAATAAACATGCATCGGAAACACAGTATCTCAAATGTTTAATTCTAAAAAAAAAGAGTAAAGAGCAAATAGAATGGTCAAAAAAAAGTAAAATAATTAATAAAACATTGCACAATACAAACAATATTCATGATTCGTCACATTTACAAACAATAATAGAACTATGAATTGATAATACTGTTGTAAATACATCATAAATCAATATATTTTCTTTATTCTAACAGACACATCTGAACCAGGAAACTACCTAGTATCCAAAACAAGGAAGCGCTCACCTCTCCGCAGCAGACTATAGGGAGCAGAGGAGACCTAGGGGGCGTGGCCTGTCTCCCTGCCTTACGAGGTGGGCGGGGCTTGTCGGAGGAGAGGAAGAGGAGAGAGAGAGAGAGTGCGTGTTCGTCGGATGCGGTCCCCTCCCTGC